AGAGTATAAACAACTCAAAAATATGGATGTCAAGGCTTACAAGGATATGATACCAAAAACACTTTTTTTAAATTAGTTGCCTTATACACGATAAAGTTGATTCAGTTGATTCAAAGGTGTTCAGTATCTGATGTCAAGGTATAATACTCGCTAATTCGAAATTCAAAAAACTCACACCGAAACACGTTGGTTTGGGAATAATGATTCATCAAGAGACATGATGGAAAAAAATTATCGTAGCTTTGTGTTCTTGTGGACACTGTATCGTATTTACGTGTATTTACAACTTCGCAATTCGATAGGTATCAATAAATAATGTTTTTTTTTCAAGTTTCCACAAGGATATCTTATTTTTATTTCAATATTATATGCATCATGTTTTGTTTCAATATTTGTCAATTTGTTAATAAATGAGATGGTTGACATTTTACTCTGATGGATAATAAATGTAGGTACTTTCGAGATAGAATCATTCATAAAATAAATGGAGGGCACTTCCAATCAAACAGCAAGTTAAAATAAATTTCTGTTAACTTGGAAAATAGCGATCAATTCCATTTCTCCCGTGAATTCCAAGATCGTACTATTCTGTAACACTCAGTATTTCATATTTACGGTGATCGTACTAGGACGGCTGCGGGCGTTGCGGGGAGAATCGGGGTATGAAAGCGGCGAGTCGCCGTCCTCCGTACTACCTGCATTGGATTATGATTTTCCCAATATCTTCCTTATTTATGCTTCGATTGTCAAAATCGAAGAACCATTCGCATCTTGAAACATTGGCGCATCGACATTATTTCGAGTATTTTTTCGATAAACGTTATAGTTACTGAGATAATGCAAGGTATATGAAAAGCAATTTAACGAAAATATACAAGTTTCGAGTTATAGCCGTTTGAAATATGATTTTCTCATATATCGTAATGTAATTGGTGAATTTCAAAATTTTCTATAATTTGTTCTACTTGTCACACGAAATCAAGATTCGACAGGGTGGAAGTTCTGGAACCCATCAATATTTTCCACGAATAAAAAAAAATCCTTATTTTTTTATAAATTACCCCCTACCCCCCAAACGCACAGGACGATTTTTTGACGACAAGTGGATCCATGATCTGGAGATGATAGGTAACAATTCTAGCCATGTCACAGCTTTTTACCTCCGATTTCCCACCAACTTTTGATCTAAGCGACTTACGGTTCGTTTGGCACTCTACTATAATAAAGATATTTCAAATTCCAGAAATCAGGAGTATAAAAATTTAACTGTGGAATGTGGATATTGTACTAAAGGTATATATTGGTATGACAAGTGGAACGATTAATCATCGAATTCAGGAACATCATGAGTTTAAAATCTTGTTAGAATGCCGTAAAACGAACCGTTTTCGAGAAAAATTTCATTTTTTATTTTAATGTTCAAAACAAAACAGTAGGTCTACCTAATCTCGTGATTCTAGGTTCATGCACTGATAAGAAATATAATTCAAGACAACAGTAGAATTACCTCCCAGATTATATACGAATGCATAGTCAGTGTTGGTTATATGTCTTGTTTTCGTGGAAATCTTTTAGTGTGTAATCTTTTCTACAATAATTAGAATGTTAGTAGAGGAGTTATTTTTATGAATAGATTTTTATTACTAGTGATTCAGCCAAAATATAGTTCAGAAACCATATTTTTTTCTGCAAATAATCTACCTCGAATTATACAGGGTATTTCCCTTCGCTGTTTCCAATGATTCAAGCTATTTACAATACGTTCTTAGCCACAACAACTAACAGTTAGTAATTTTTTTCTACAGCTCGCTTGAAACAGTATCGGAAAAATCACCCAAAATATCAACTCAACAAAAAAATCTTGGAAATATTTGTCTGCATTTGGCACTTATACTTTATACCTAAAGGGCATTACTGTCTGAGGAATATTTTGGATTTAACTTTGGGATACCACGTTACTCGCATATTATGCATATGCATAGTATTAAAGGTTCCATCAAATGATATGTACAGGGTGGAACAAATTGTACGCTTTTGAGAAAACCTCAGATGAAGGAATGGACTAGGACTAGAGAGAACAAAAATATTCTAAAAGAATCTTTAAACAGTTTGATTGGGTCACACATAAAATATACCAAGATTTTAAATCGATATTAATAGGCGCCAGGAGAAAGAAGGATATGACGATAATGTTTGTAAACATATGAACATTAATTGAATTATCCATTTCACGTGACCCGAATGGTGTCTAAGATAACCGAACATGCTTCTTCGAAGATTGGACGTATTTGCTGGAAATCTCAAGGAGTTGTTTTTCAAACATTGACTGTATTCTATTTCTTGCCAAAATATCAATTCTTCTGATATTCAGCATTCAACAATAAAAATTGTTCACAGGCATCTTTCACGAAATCCAGTATGAAATACCTGGTTTGGAGGTGAATCGAAAATATTAATCGATATAGTTGGAAATATATTAGGTGAACAATAATAAACTAATCTCGATACCGGAGTGTATCATCCTTCAAGAGTCGGCCAAATGTATTAATCTACTCACTGAATCGAAAGTAGGCGTTTGCTCCCTCATTAAAGGAAACAAAGTTGTCAGTTTACTCCCACGGGAGGAAAAAAATGTTAACTTCCGTGGGAGGTAAAATAAATTGGCTTCAGCATACATCCTTTTGCGTTAATATACCTATTAAATCTGTGCAATCCAAGTAATCAGTGTATTTATCACTATCACTATTATAAAACACATATCAATAATATCCTTTTTGAATTTCAATCATATCAATCATATACGCTTCTTCATATTCCGAACGTACTCCTAATCAAAACTTCCAATTGCAGTTACACAATATACAAATCAATTAATTCATGCATGATGACAAAAGTGTCGAATTGATTTTCGTTCAAATGCCGTCAATTGTCCATGGCATACTATACCATTGTAATGTATAATGATTTGAATCGAGAAACTAGACAGCCTGAAGCACAATTTCAAGAATGATGGGAGCAAAGGTTCATTTCCTCCAATGTGTGTTTAATGATATATAGGGTTGTCAAAAAAAAACGGAATTTTGTTTTTAAATGATAACTTTTTATTATTGAATTCCATTGATTTTGGTCTGATTTGGAAGGAAATTGAACGAGACAAAACGTCAACTTCATATTTTTCAAATTCTTCCAGAAAACAAAATGGCGAACACGCCTATACTTGGTCGAACTTTTAAATTTGTTGGATTTTTTTTGAGTCTCACTGTATATTTTTGCGTATGATATTCTGAAAGCGTAAAAGTCATTCAGTAATCTTTGGCGTAGACTTTTGTGAATAGAACAAGAGGTCAAAGATACAAATCCGTTCGAGATTACTCGATATATGACAGGACGAAGACAGGTGCATGTGTTTTCAGATCTGAATTTCAATTTTCTTGCATTAAACGGATTTTTTGTGTTTGATCAAGTTAAGGCGTGTTCGCCAATTCGTTTCCTGGTAGAATTCGAAAAATATGAAGTTGACGTTTCGTCTCGTTCAATTATCTTCCAAACAAGACCAAAATCAAAGAAATCGGTTCAATGATGAAAAAGGTATTATTCAAAAACAAAATTCCGTTTTTTTTTGACAACCTTATATACATAGATATAAGAAATGACTGGAACATAATATCAATGCAGTTTCAATCTTCTCCTGAAGACGTTAACATAATTAGCGAATCTCGTGTCGAGGCGCGTCGAAACGATAAAAAGTTGGTATGGTTAGTGTGGTAAAACAGTTTTGTGTGATTATCGTGCCAAAGGTCCTAGTCTTCGATTTATAATATCAATGTCAACATCCCGTATTCATATCACAAGGAAAATAATTATTTTCCACGTGGCCATTCGAGATAGGATAAGTTTATAGACAAGACGGCTTCAGTAAAAAAACTGAACATCACAACAAATTCATAAAACGAAATAAAAGATTTTCACCACCATCTTTCATTGTAAATCTGTGCGAATGAAAAATAGTATATTGTACAACTAGTGCGAAAAATGAGTTATTTCATACGAGTTCGTGACGAGATGATGAACCACGAGCCGTGGGCGAGTGGTTCGTCATATTGCCAAACGAGTTTTACACTATACTTTTTCGACGACCTACTTGAAATATGAAAAATGTTTGAAGGCGAGACAATAATTATACTACACATCAGTACAAGTTTCTATTCTTAGAACTTACCTAGTTTAAGAATTGATATATACTATTATACTCGCATACTCGTTACTATAGAAGCTCATAGTAAGATGAATTACACAAAATTTAAGAATTTTAATCAACATTCAACAAAGTTTGAGTGAGCATGTTGGACTTTCTAAGAACTATTAGAATGATAATGATTATTTATTAATGATTTTCTTATCATTGAATAAATTGACAAGATAGTATTGGCTTATACTTCTTTCCCAATTCTCCAATATACGCCAATAAAACTACCCAGAGAAGCTTTTCGCATTGTTTTTTCTTTCCATGCAATGAAATTATTATACGCCGAATCATACTTGTGTTTTGATTTTTCTGGAAGCAATTCTTTTGTCGTTTCGATTGCTTATTCCTGGATTTCTGGGGGAGTAGAATCTAACATTTCATCGTCGTATGAAAAGTCAATTTTGTTTTCTCAGAATCAAGAAAACATTGCACAACTTATAAGTAGATATTCACCTCATAAATAATATGTAATTAAATTCAATTTGAAGTAGGTACTATAACAATGTGTAGAAACATTGTCATGAACTGATTTGTATATTTATTATTGTCATAGCTGCCTATATAAATCCAGTTCAAATTTGAGTAGGTGTATTCGCCATTCAATATAGGATTTGTGCTTTGGGAAAATTTTCATTTCGCACTAGTGCGAAATAGGTATCACGTTGTGCTGTTTTCTAGTACGAAATAATACCTATTTCAAGTAGGTCCTCGGAAAATATACATGCGGTACAGGAGTCAGGAGTGTAATACCAACCTTTATGGGTTTCCTCTTTCTCAGCTGGTACATGTTTGGGAGATTTTGGAGTCCCCTGGTTACCTGTTGGAAAATGAAAGAAGAATTAAATTTTCATGATCATATGATTCCATTTATATCAATCATAAACTTGAATGTATTCCAAATTCCAAAATATTAATGTTCTTCACTTTCGTGTCAGTGAAGGAATATGCAGTTCTGAACGTTTGAGTTGCCTATATATCTATCTCGTACAATTTGTTATAGATATTATCATTTATATTTTATGAATTCGTCTCCAATATAGTTATTCATTATAGAAGGGATAAAAGTAGTATAGAACCGTGTGCTAGAACCTAATATTTTAACCGTGTATAATACACTATTTTTTTTGTGACGGGAAAAAGGACGAATTAATATTGAGAAGATATTACATTATATTAAAATCAGAAAATTATCGATGTGAAATTTGAAATTTTTAACAGGAATTACACCTGCGTTGCACTCGTTGCAGACATCTTCCTCATTCTCTTGAAGTTATCGAATATCTGTCAGTATAATTCTGTGATTTGAATTAAATAAATTGCAAACTCAGTGGTTGTTTAGTAATTTACGTAACGTAACCGCGAAGCAGATTAAGAGATAAAAGGACTTGCAGTTTTTTTCTCGGAGACGGTGTTATTGGCTTATTTTTCGGAACTACCTAAATAAAAGCCCACAACAGCGTACATAATATAATCTATCCGAGAAAAAAGTGTTAACATCTTTCCCGTGGGACAAAAATAATTGATGAAAAGGGACATTTTATAACCTGTTAGCAGAGATGAAATGTCAAATTTCACATCAAATAAATGAAAATCATTATTGGATAGTGAATCAGTTAGTATAGGCTATGAACTTCATTCTGGCAGAGAAATGACATATAATGCATCCATTGTCATCCTAATCTGAATTCAAGTTCCATAGGTGTGAAAGTACTTCAGCAGAAAATAATTACTCAAATGTGTTTTCGATGGAATTATTCATCATTATTGGTCAATGTGACAAGATTATCAGCTAAACATGCCGGGAGTTCAATGAAAAGTATCCTGATTCACTTCGAATGAATTTGAGAAAGTTCATCAGATTGATATCATTGATTAGTAATGGCATCATTTTGAACAGTTTTGGGAATGATGATGATTAAGCACAATAATCCCCGAAACGAAATGAATTTTCATCGTTATTAAATGATTGTTATCATGAATTAATTATAATTTAACCATGAATAGTCTTATTCATGGAATTGTTGACAAATTATTCGTTATTTCCTAATACTTATACAGGAAAGTTTTCGATTGCCGACCACATGGACCACAGTTCGACCACAGGGTTTTTGATTGACGACCGAACTTCAAATGGTAACGGTTTTTTATTGAGAACCAAGGTCGACCGATCCAAAGGATATAAAGAATAACCTCAGAAACAATCAAATTACTCGAAAAAGTTGCAAGGCATCTACAGTCTTCAAATTTGAGAGACTCGAACTGCATAAATATTTCAACAAAAATAGCAATACATCACATCACTGGATGATTGATTCACTTGGGTGTGCTTGGGTGTATTATTTCTGGCATACAGTTCAGCATTATTATATCCACAAAATCTGTCTAGAGGAATTCAATGACTCATAAAATAGGTAGGTAGATGATTCCTATAATATATCTGATTTCCAGGATATCAGGTTATGTGTAATTTTCGGTGTATTATCAATTGATAAGTGAAGATTACGGTTTTTAAAGTTTTTGTATACATCGACTGGTTGAATCCATTCGTATTTGTCAGTCACGTCACAATATAACGACCGGTGGGTCAGATCGGTCGGCACCCAAAAACTCTCGTTCACGTTTGATAAAGCCATACACCAATACATTATTTATAGTAACATTTTTGGGTAATCATTTTTATGTATCGAAGACTGGAACCTTTGGCACCATAATACCATTAACCAAACCGAGTTTTTACACCTCCACACGTGTTTCGCTAACTATGTTAGCATCTTCAGGAGAATATCAAAACTAAAAGCTCTATCCTAGTGGGCTACTCAAATATACTAAGTATATGTCCACCCAACCGTGAATAGACAGTAACCGCCAAGTTAATGTTATTCATGGTTGAGTTCACATATTATATTACTATAAACTATACAAAGGGCTAAATGGCATAGGTTCATTATCCTTATTCATTACTCTATTATTATTATTATTCTTGAATATCTCTAAGCTATTATATACATTGGGCTACACACGATTTATCTAACCTACTATATATATTTCAATTGTGCTAAGTGTTCTTTGGACCTTGTTTTTATGATACGCCTGGTTTTGCCTATATATGTTCTATCACAATCTTTACAACTAATTTCATATATTCTTGACTTTTCAAGTGTGTCCACCTTATCTTTTGGATTACCTGATAAATTGCCTAACTTCGACCCAGACTGATAAACGCATCAAAACCTAAGTATTTGAAAAATTTATCAAGTTCTCTTGTGTACTTGAGATTGAAAGGGAATGGGAATTTTCTCGAATTGTTTTTATCCACTTGAAAAGTCGTAGTCCTGAGTGATAACTCGAATTTATTTCTTCGTAATAATTTATTTAGTATTTTGATATCATAACCATTGACCCCAAAAGATAAGGTGGATACACTTGAAAAGTCAGGAATATATAAAATTAGTTTTGATGATTGTGATAAAACATATATAGGCCAAACCAGGCGTCCCATAAAAACAAGGTTCAAAGAACACTTAGCACATTTGAAATATGGTTGGTCAGATAAATCGTGTGTAGCAGAACACATGTTCAATCACAATCATAAGACACAACATATTAATAACCTCAAATTAGTTAAGCCAGTTAATAATGTTAGAAAATTAGATGCATATGAAAGCTAAGAGATATTCAAGAATAGTAATAGAGAAATGAATAAGGATAATGGACCTATCCCATTTAGCCCTGTATAGTTTAGTAATATAACATGTGAACTCAACTATGAATAACATTAACTTGGCGGTTACTGTCTATTCACGGTTGGCTGGATATATACTTAGTATATAAGTAGCCCACTAGGATAGAGTATTTAATTTTAATCTTCTCCTGAAGATGCTAACATAGTTAGCGAAACACGTGTCGAGGTGAAAAAAATCGGTTTGGTTAGTGGTTAAACAGTGTGTTGTGTAATCATTTTTAGTTAACGTAACCAAACTGTTCTTTCAGTGTATATAGAAAAAGTTATAGTCTTCTACTTGTCTGTAACACGAACTATAACCCCTATTATTTATCTCGCTCTCTGAAACAGCACAAATCCCCAGGTAGGTATACTCAAGACCGCGTTTTAAGAGGCCAAGAAACACCGTAATCGACCGAGTATATATCATAAGGATAAGGGATGAACCAACAACGTACGGGCCATCTATTGAGGACGTGGAAAGAGCCTTCTGTTGTATCACCTCCGAATGCGAAGCCATTTAATACACACAAGGCATTTTTCCTGAGGATGGGAGACCGGTAATAAGGGCTTATTGAACGGAGAATTGAAACTGACCTCTCATAGCCAAGCGAGAATCAACTCCGTTATTTAGTAAACTCAGATAATATGACGACTATTGGATTATTGTATTTTTTTCTTGACCGCTTTCCATAAACCAATGCGGTGAGGTGTATGTCTTCAATTTTATTTTTTTATGAAAGAATGACATCATTGTGTTAAAGTTATGGTTATTATTATACCATATTTTTGACAAAACTACAAGTACCATCTATTACAATTTGATATAATATCATTCCATTGAGTTCATAGTTTTTCTTCAAGTAAGTTTAATCTATAGGTATCTATCGTTTCTGACAGTTCTAATAATTGATGGAACTTCGGTGCTCACGAAATTTTTAGGTGATTTTATTAAATTTATATTTCAAACACATTTGGGGGTGATTTTATTTCATATTATTGTTTTAATGAATAGATGAATGATGTATGAGAAGTCCAATGTAGAGATAGCGTTCATTTTGTATAATTTGTATTTCCTTACTTATCAAACCTCCGAAGTAATATAGGCGACAATTATGGAATAGTATTCCATATTACCCGACTCAATTATCAAACACTTCGAAAAATTACCAAAATGAAAAACAATGCGAACCACAACTCCACAAAGCAAGAAGTGGAATGAGGAATATGAAAAAGCGCAGTGATGACAGTTAGAAGAAGAAGAATAATGGTTATATTTATTATTTCATCCACTATAATAGTGGATATGAATAGTGGATGCAGAGCCTAAGATGCAAGCTTTGGGCACACGAACTGTGTGACGATGCTGGGAACGATACCATCATTTCCGATTTTGTCGTTAGTAGACATCAAGTATAGTTTTTTATTTTATGTTCTGGTTCCCACGAAAAGGGATATCCTGTAATATTCAGAGAACATCGTGAGAACCAAGGGAAATACGGTTGGAATTGGTGTTCTTCTTGAATTTCTGGAGTTTATATGCCTCGGGAAACACTTCCCTTGGCAATGTGTTCCAGAGCCTCGCTGTTCGTTGGATGAACGAGTCTTTGAAAGGAGATGTTCTGCAAGTCCCAAAGTGACCACGAAGGGGAGCGAAGCCTAAACTCGACGGGTTAATGTCGCGGGGACTGCCAAGGGAGGAACAATTCTTGATATTTCAGAAGAGCATCGTCCATGGAAATATCTATAAAATAGTGCCAGCTCGCCAACTCTTCTAGGGTGTTCCAGAGAAGTGAGTGAGTTTGTGAGCGAGGCATCACCCACGAGACGAATTGCCTTCTTTTGGACATAATCCAATAGTTTCAGGGTATGTTTGGGTGCTGCACTCCAAATATGGGAACAGTATTCCAGGAAAGGACGGATCTGTGCCTTATAGACCATAAGCAGCTGACTGGAAGTGAAATAGCTCCTGGCCCGAAACAGGGAACCAAGTTTTTGGGGTGCACTTTTAGCAATTATTGATCTCACGTGATTTTCCCAAGAAAGGTTATTGCTGATAGTAATACCAAGCATCGAAATGCATATCTTCAAAGGTATGGTTACTCCTGACAGGCTCATGTTGGGCACCGTAAGATCGACTTTTCTAGAGAAAAGGCATGCTTGTGTTTTGTTTGCATTGAAATCTACCAAGTTATTGGATTCCCATTCGAGAATTGTTGCCAAGTCCATATTTTTGTTGTCAACATTTCTCCCTCGTTCGTTTCTGATTTGCCTGGCTGGTATTGGACCCTGGAAGAGAAGGCGATATGGAGGGTACTATCATCCGCGAAGCTGTGTACTGGACATGAAGTTGCTGCTATAGGTATATCATATTATCCAACACCATTTTTTCGGCCAGAAAAAATGTAGTATTTTTTAATGATCCAAAATGTTATTTGTTTGTTCATATTTATCTAACTTTCTTCTCATAATTCGGTCTAATGAATCTTTTGGCCACACTATCACCATTTTAAATTTATATTTCATTCAATACTTTCCGAACTAACCCTACAATATATCACGTCTCCCATGGAATGACAGCTCTGTTTTTGAATGACATTAGATATGAATTTTACGTTATTTCAGTTGTTTATCATTTTTTTATCATCGACCTGAATCATAATTAGATTTAGTATAAGTAAATGGTACGTGAAGACGAAATATTCCCCATATTATTCACTCCCAGTCAGTTCCGGTTTCACCGAAAATGCTTTCGGTTTTAAATTTTTGAATTGAACACCCTGTAACATTTTTGGATTTTCGAGACAATGCTGGGTCAGAATATGACAAGTTTTAACGCCTACTTCATTTTTTTAGAGTAATTTTCATTATTGCACAGAATTAAGGCACTTTTACTTTTTGCTCATAAAGTGAATGTATTGATGAGAGCTTTCGAAAAATAGTTTTTTCAATTCGTTTTCAAACAACGAATCTGTATCGTAATTAATTGTACATTTCGAACTTACCCAATGCCTTTGTCGTCGCCTCCGATATAACGACGAATGAGAGCAGAAGTAAAAGTAGCCCACATCGAAATTTCTCATGCCAGGCCATCGCACTGTCACCCTGGAACAAATAAACAGGCAATGTTAAAACAATTTAGAAATTATCAAAAGCAAATACTACGAGGCGAGAGGTGTCCTTGAAATTTTATCGGAAATGGTTTATTTCTACGAAATAGTTATTTATGTACCAAGGACGAAACACTGTCTAGTACAGTTTTTCGCCGAGGTGCATATTAGATTTTTTCGTCGACCTCAAACACTTGTATCCACATCACGGTCCTATCAACACGTGAAATCTCTAGGATTTCGTGAATAATTAATTTGACAACAGCAAATGACAGTTGTTGTCAACTCACTCTCCGCGCGGACCAGGGTTGCCAGTTCGATTTTTATTTCATCAGTAAATACCTTGTCAAAAATTCAGATCTATTTTATGTTATACTTACGAATTCCAAGGAAGGATAATGAAATAAACCTATGACGTCAAATAAATTTGTACTTTTAGTAATCAGAAAAGTAATCTACTTCCAACAAAATAGAAACAAACAAAACAAACATTCTCATAAAAAAAATAATCATATTCCCAATTCTCAATTTAAAAATACACAAATATCACAAAATACAGTTACATAATAGGTACTTAAGATTTGAGTATATTAAAAACACGAACGAATAGGTAAAATGAACAACAAAAATAAAAAACAAATGAAAAAATTAAACGTAAGAAACAAATTGTTATAACATAGTTAAATAAAAAATTGGATTTGATCTGAATCAGATAAAGTATTGTCCTTTCTTGGTTTATATATACATATCATTTTTATTCCTCGTGGTGGTTGAAATCCTTTATGGTCATCATATGGGTCTAACCCCCATTTGATAGTGTGGGAGTCCCCTGACTCCAAGGTATACTCACTAAACATTCCACCCCGTTTGTTGGCTCGTCTGACCGATGTCTCCGACGACCTTAAGCCTATTCAACGTTAACCATAAACGATCATGGTGATTGTTAAGGGCCACTTGAATGATATGAATGGTCCTTTTCGTTCAGGTTTTTGAAGATTACTCTTCCGATCTTTGTTCTCGTCTATAAGAAGGCCAAAAGTTTTTCTTCTCCTACGAGTAACTGGGGAAATGTCGGGAATGTCGCCCTATTTCCCCGTTAGTGACACCACACCTCGGTGCCATTCATCCATCGCCACGGGTTTCCACAGCTTGGTTTAGGTTGCCAGAACCTTGTTGGCCAGTCTTCATCGGCCACCTAGACAGATATCAGCAAATCGCCACAACTTCGCCACAGATGTCCACAAATTATTGTCCCATCTGGCGCAAGACAGCAAAGACGTTCCCAAAATGCTTCATCTGTCGAGCGGCTGATATGGACCAAAGACAACCAAAAAAGCGGTAACGTCACTGATGTTGACTAGACGCTCTTGTGGGAAGAAATGGGGACAGAGACCCTACATGCTGTACTGGTTGTATAACGGGCGCAGGAGTATACTTCAAACATCAGGAGATTAGCCTCGGCTACTCATTGGGGAAGTATGCCTCAGATTTTAAAGCAGAGGTGTACGCAATTCTCCAATGTGCGGAAGAAAATAACAGGAGAGCTGTGAAAAATGAGCAGATCCGCATTATATCAGACAGTCAAGCGGCACTAGACAATAGAAAGCCAGGAATCTCGACTGGAATGGGATTGCAAGAGGGAACTGAGAACTCTGGCAGACCAGAACTGCGTCAAGATAATATGGGTGTCAGGCGAGGTGCCAGGGCATCAAGGGATCGCTGGCAATGACAAGGTTGACGAACTTGCAAGAAGAAGGTCGAACAACGAGCCAGATCCAGGACGCTTGGAGTACTAAAATGTACAGTACGAGTATCAGTTGAAGACTGGCTTCAGGCAAAACATAAGAGCTACTGGGAAAACATCCCAAGACACAGACATGGGAAATAATACATTAAGGAACCAAGTCATAAACGAACTGTAGACTTGCTCAACTTGACCAGAGTATAGATAAAAACTGTTACGGGACTCATGACTGGCCATGCGCCAGTAAAGGAGCACCTCACCAAAATGAGACTGTATAATGGCGACCCAAGCTGCAGACTATGCGGAAAGGAGGCATTGGACCGCTAAAGACAGAAGATTTTTGGGCAACCAGTTGGCAAACCAGAAGTATTTAACTCACATCCAGAGAAGGATCTCTACAGACTTGTTCAAGGTATAGGGATAATGGAGTGGACACAAGAATAAACTATTAGGAAAGATACAATGGGCCACCAGGCTTAAGTGTCGTCGGAGATATGGGTCAGACGAGCCTAAAAGCGGGGTGAAATGTTTAGTGGGTATTTCCTTTCTAGAGTCATGGGACTCCCACACTATTATATGGGGAAGTAGACCTGTCCATAAAGGATTTCAACCACCTCGGCAATATATTTGTAATATTCTACTACTCAGAATGATGAAAATTTACTATGCAAACTTCTATTTTGGGTCAAATATCTCGAAAACTCTACATTTCAGCTCTTTGAAAGTGGTGCATTTTTGAAGAAATTGAATGTAATAGAAATTTCACCAGTGTCGTAGAAATGATGGCACAACTCTCTGTAGCGCACCACTGGATGAATGTCAAGCGTTGTCGGTCGAATTTCGAAACACCCTATATATTTATTCTCAACTGAGCGTCTATTTTGCATGGGGTGTTTTCGTCAGTCAGCCTATGCAGTGTGTCACAAATTCGATCCTCACCATTGGGATCTCGGTAACTATGAGAGATAGGGATTCGGTTAAATTACGAAAGTTTCAGTAAATTTATTCGTGACTCGGAAACCGTCCAGAAATTTAGACAATAGCTTCGGTCATTCTTGAGTTATACAAGGAACACTAAAATTTTGTATTTTCGTTTTCCTCGAATATCTCGAAAACCATTGATCGTCCTCCACCTCATTTTTTTCTTCTGGACACCATATTGGATTTTCACAGATTTGAAATCAGCATCAAATTGCCTTCCTTTAAAACAACCCCCTGTCATTCCTTGCTCGCACAAGTCTTCCGAAGACTTCTGAGGGTTGCTCGTAAGGGGGCCACCGAATGACGGATAGAACAATTTCAAAACAATTTTAAACAAAAACACAAAATTTCAGTTTTGCTTGAATAACCCAGGAAATTACTGAAAATAAACAAGATTTCTTGACGGATTCTGAATCACGATTGAATTTGCTGAACTTTCGTACTAGACTAATAATGAATCATTGGCATTCAATTACTCCACTGTGTCTTTAGGAACCTAAATTAATTTTTGCAACACTTCTCACATTTTTTTATGTAAATAATAGGTCTATGCGTTGTTTGATATTGTTGAATTTCAGAGTCAATTTCAAACGAACCTTCATGGCCGCCATTTGACGATACGTCGAATAAATAGTGACGTCAATTTTTATGCTGTTTCGTTATTGGTAAGATAATCTTTCATTCCCACTCATGACGTAAGGTTGCCAAGTCACCAATTATAATCAATTATAATCAGTCCTGTCGTTGAATAAAACATAATAGGAGGAATCCATGATAGATATTATAGTTCGTTCTTATAACCCTTTCTGGCAACCATCATGTCCGAATATTTCTTATTCTCCATAACAAAGTATCATGTACTGTTGGAGACTTGGCAACTTTATGCTGAATGCTAATATCTGACAAGACCACGTCCACAAGTCGTGCGCCGTGTTCTCACGTTCACCGATTCAAATGTCCTCTAGTGTGAATTAATATAATCATTATTAACACAAATTCATTACAAGCAATAAGCCACAAATCATAAGGGAACATTTTGAGACAATTGAATTTTTATTGGTTATTAGTAATATTACCAATACTCAATTGAGAGTTTATGAATTATTGAATAACTAATATTTCTGAAATTCCCAATCGTATTTCAACACATGGCAACTGTGGTATGGTCTGCCCCTACTTAGGGAATCGTGGCGTCAGCTTTCACTGGCGGTAAATTTCTAGCCGTTTTGATGATTCTAGCACCTAAAAATCGATCGAAGAATTCTTAAAAAATATAAAATTGAAAGGTATTTGAGTGATGATTCCATTTAAGAAATAAAAAAAAATAGTCCACTCGCCTATTTAATCGACTATTTATCTCTCATAGTTACCGACATCCCAATGGTGGGGATCGAATTTGGGACACACCGTACATTCGACCACCAATGAAAAAACCGATCAGGACCTAAAAAGTAATTGAAAAATCAGTCGTGGCAATCTGAAGTAAAAATGACTAAAATTCAACTGGAGTTTCGAGTTTCGAGTGTTGAGCGGTTCAGATGAAAGGAAATAAGGAATCAATTGAAACGTCGAACGCAAAATCACGGGAATATCGAAGAGTGGGATCCGATAAGGAAACTAATAAAAACGCAGAATCCAAGGTGAAATTCCATATAATCCCTGCCGGATCGATCTCAATTTCCTTTGAGCTCTCGGAGAAGTATCAATATAATGTTGTATATGAAGTAAGAAGCTTTGAAATGTATGAGTGGACGTTTAGATCGAAATCGGGGAAGAACACTGATTTTTCAAAACAATCATCAACGTGAGCTCTATATAAAAAATGTAGCAGTAAATGTAATCTTGAATTTTTTTCATCCATACTAGGACGATAAAAAAGTTTTTAAAAATATATATATCTAGCCCAGTTTTTAGCTGACATGAAGCTATAGCAGAGCCATTGTTTTCGTCTGTTAAGTAACTTATTAAGGATTCAATACTCAATTTTTTTTTGCAATTGCATTAACTCGTTGGTCCTAGCACTGGGACCAAACGCCCCATAAGTCGAAACTTGTGCGGGGTTAGGTAAGCATACAAACACAAACATCCATGGCCTAACTAGGATTCGAACCTATGTCTCGGTGGGAGTCCCCATACGAACTCAGCGCATTCACGCTCTCTACCACAGAGCCGCAATAGAATAAAAAAAATTTTAAAACTTCACAATCGATAAGATTTCTACAAAATTCTTAAACGCACAATGTTTCGCTAACACAGTAGTTTCGTCAGGT